GGCATTTCACTAAGAAATTCAAAATATCAATAGACATTTAACTAAGAAATTCAAAATATCAATAGGCATTTCATGAAGAAATTTAACTGTTAATTCATTATTATGTAAATATTTTTTAAGGCTTTATATGTATTCAAATATGTCCATTATTGATTTACATTTAAGTTATTTTAATAAGTAAATTTACAACATGCCTTTATCTCGGCATAAAATTTTAATTTATAATAACTTTTCTTATTACGTGGATTAGAATAATAAGTAATCATCATTGGTCTCACAATATAGAATTCATAACCTAACTCCAACTTCCATATTGGTTCTTTCTAAGTTGTCACATTAGATTAGGTGTTGGTCATCATCTTGTAGTCCACCACCCAGAGCCAGGACACCACGAAGAAAGAAGCTTTTTGCATGAAAGAACGTGCTAAGGTATGATTCTTGGTCATCTCAATAGATTAGGTAGTCATCTCAACAGATTAGACATTGGTCATGTCAATAGATTAGGTAGTCATCTCAATAGATTAGGTAGTCATCTCAATAGATTAGGTAGTCATCTCAATAGATTAGGCATTGGTCATGTCAATAGATTAGGTAGTCATCTTAATAGATTAGGTAGTCATCTCAATAGATTAGGTAGTCATCTCAATAGGTTAGGTAGTCATCTCAATAGGTTAGGCAGTCATATCAATAGATTAGGTAGTCATCTCAATATTAGGCATTGGTCATATCAATAGATTAGGTAGTCATTTCAATAGATTAGGTAGTCATCTCAATAGATTAGGCAGTCATATCAATAGATAAGGTAGTCATCTCAATAGATTAGGCACTGATCATGTCAATAGATTAGGTAGTCATCTCAATAGGTAGTCATCTCAATAGGTAGTCATCTCAATAGGCAGTCATCTCAATAGATTAGGCATTGTTTCTATCATAATTGTTTGCATTATTGTTACTGTGCCACATGGAGTTTCTTCCGTTATAGTTTGAATTGTTGTTCGAAGATTGGTTATTATGAAAATTTCTAGAGTTACCCTCACTTTTGTATATGTATATATCAGAATAATATTTGACTATATATTTTTTTTTATAAAAAAAACAAGCCATGAAGAAAACAAGTTATTTATTGTGTTTTCAATTAACTTTATTTCTACTTTTAAAAAATCAAATAATAATAATAAATATATGTATAACAATCAACTGGAATATATAATAAAACATTTAAATAGATATTCAAATTAATACTCAATTAACATTACAATAAATTATGTAAATTGAACACAATTAACAACCATAAAGTTACCAATTAATATTTTATTAAAAATACCATAAAACCTTTGTTATCAAGAATTTAATTTTTTTATTTCATACTTGCTCAAAAATTTAACATAAAATATATTTTTATATCTTTGAATTTATTTTAAAAGCTTAATTTTTCCATAAATTTGTCAGTCTAGTTAGGCCTATTGTGAATACTTGTATCTACATTTCATTTGTATCTTTCTCTGTGTCTTTTTGACATTTTTAATAAGATGCTTATGTTTATATCTAAATACTTTATTTTCAAGAGAATATTTCTTGACAAAAGATACAGACATTATTTATACTTTTGCTTAAAAAAGTTAGTATTTATTTTTAACATTTTCTCATAGATCCAGCATTAATTTTAAGTTTTCTTTCTTTACTAATTTGCAAAATACTCGGATGAAATAATTTGATAACAGATTCTTTAAATATTTCATTCTTTAATCATCGAGATCATGGAAATATTCATGATTTGCACTCAACCATTTCACAAATAAATTCTTCACCACATTCACATGCTACAGTTATTATTAATCATTCAATACACCAACCTAATCATAATATGAGTGGTGGACAAGCATCAAGCCCCAGTACTTATATTCTCATAGAAATGCTTACTGCCTCATTCAATTGATATATTTTTAACTCCACCATATGCAACAACTACTAAATCTAGAATATTTCTTATTCCTAGTGAAAATAGTAAGATATGTCTGGGACTATAAATATGCTAAAATTGATGACATCTGCTTCGACAATATATACGGACAGAACTTTCTACATAGTCCCTAGCTTGTATTGTCAGCTCTATACCATTCACGCCATGTATGAAAATGTTATAATCCCAGTTATATATGCTCTTCTTCCAGATAAATCAAGGAAGACATATATTCAACTATTTCTTATACATTTTTGTACCTTAAAGGTATAAATTTCAACCCACCAATCGGACAAACAGATTTGGAGGTAGTGACTATATCCGCTCTTAGATTTGTTCAAAATATAGTGATCAAAGGTTAATTTATATATTTAAAATATTTAAGCTTTCATTATTCTTGTTAAATTTTACTAAAATTTTTATTTTCTCAATATCGCAAAATAGAGAAAATTAAAATAATAATTCCGAGAAATCGATATTCATATCATCTCTCCCCATAGAGAGAGTCTCATCTATTTCTACTTTGGTCCTCGTGTGTCTTCTTTATTTTCGTGACCTGCCTCCATTTCACTTCCGAACTCAAAGTTTTATCCATTTCATTGACATTATTATCATTTTTGTATTCATGCTGTTTTTTTATCAATTATTAAACTATTATTGTTTTATTCATATTTTTGAAAATTAATTTCATGGTCTATCGCGGAAATATAACATGCTTCCTTCCCCTTTAAATGTAACATATAATATTTTAAATCCATAACATTTATAGGCACAGCTTTTTTGATTAATAGATATATATTATTTTCGACAGTAATATTATTTGCCGCAAAATGCGCTTCAAATCTTAGAATATAATTGGTAAAATTTTCTCCAAGTTTTTTTGTAAATGTCATCATTGATAAATATTTTTTAGAAATTTCACAATTATTTGTCCTATCGGGGGATGTTGACGCGAGGCATATATTGTTTATTTATAAGTAGTATAGTTATCTCTGTAATATCTTAGTGTCTCGCCGTCGTTTATTTATATAGGAATAGTTATTATTTTTTTATATTATTTTGCAATGTTATTTTTTTTAGAAAAAATAATGTTTATTTTTTTTAATATAATATAAATAGTGTAGAAAAAAATAATAGATTTTTTATCTTTGATTCATTTTTTTTGAAAAAGAAAAATAAATATTATTGAATATTATTGAGGTTTATATTTTTTTTTATTTAGTTGATTTTTCTTTTTTAAAAAAAAAAAGAGAAAAGCAAATTTGTTTAAAAAAAAAATTAATTAATTACTTAATAAAGTTTGTTTTTCTCCTTGTGAGAAAAGTATATTTAAAAGAGAAAAAGATTCGATTAATCTTGTTAGGTACAAAAGAAAAAGAAATTAAAAATTTAAATTGATAAGATAAAGCTTATCGTTTTCGTTCCGAACCCCGGTCCCCTATAAACTTTCAGTTTGTCAGTCTTTTTGATAAATTGGTGGCCAAGACGAGCATATCGTAAAAAACTTTTAATTTAAGAATATAAAATCCTTTGGTGAGAATTTAGGTTACCCGTGCGGCGGAAGTTTAAGAATATAAAATCCTTTGGTGAGAATTTAGGTTACCCGTGCGGCGGAAGTTTAAGAATATAAAATCCTTTGGTGAGAATTTAGGTTACCCGTGCGGCGGAAGTTTAAGAATATAAAATCCTTTGGTGAGAATTTAGGTTACCCGTGCGGCGGAAGTTTAAGAATAGAAAATCACAAATTATTCGCGAAGTTTAAATACACCGAAGTGCTGCCCAAATTATTCGCGAAGTTTAAATACACGGAAGTGCTGCCCAAATTATTCGCGAAGTTTAAATACACGGAAGTGCTGCCCAAATTATTCGTGAAGCTTAAATACACGGAAGTACTGCCCAAATTTTTCACAAATCATAATTGTACGGAAGTGCTGTCCAAATTTTTTGAAGAAATAAATTACACAAAAGAGCTATCAGTTTGGGTTAAAGAAATCAAAATACACGGTAAATTCGCGGAGAGCAATTTAGACAACATCCTATCAATAATAGGTATATTGATTATTTTGTTTAAGATTGTTGCATGTATATGTGCATTATTGGATTATTTACGTTAGTAATAATATCTTATCTATTAACTGTACAAATAACCAAGATTTTCATTTTAAAATTAATAATAAATTTTTTATAACGTTCGGATGAAAAGCTTAAAATTTGTTAAGTATTGGGAGGTTCAGTATAATATTTTTGGGGCGTTGGTGATATTAATTATATGGATTTGTAGTTTAATTTGGGGCAGGAGAATGAAGAGAAGTCGCAGTGTAAAAATCAAAGGACAAACTTTAACCATTGAGGGGCATAATGGAGAGGAAGATATGATGGGCAGAGTAACATGGTTGCCGGTTCAGGAGTTAATTAGGGGGTGGACGGATAGCGATATAAGCAGAAGTTTATATATAACTGACAAGCAGGATTGTAATGATAATCAGGCATTGAGACCTTATAGAGAACCAAAAGAGTACTCTAGGGGAAGGAGAATGGAAATAAGACAGGGTTTTGAGCCGCAAAGGAAAGGGGGAATGAATTGTTATAATTGTGGTAAACCAGGTCATATGCTTAGAGATTGTCGTGATACAAAGTGTTTTGGTTGTGGGAAATTTGGTCATATAGCCCCTTACTGTCCTGGCAAACAGGAAAGGTTGAGATGTGCGGGTTGTGGACGCTTTGGACATAATAAAGAGGATTGTAATGTAAGCAGTTACAGTAATAAGAATGGTTTTCCGGAGAGGGGGATGGGTCCAAATGCTTCAAATGTAAGGACTATTAAGCGAGAGAAAGTGGAAGGGGTTCGTATGTCAAGGAAACGGGGGAGATGGATATGGAGTGTTTTAGGTGTCGAGGGGCGGGACATGTGGCGAGGGACTGTGAGAATGTGTGACTATATGATGGCGAAAAATCGACATTACGGATCGGGGCGTGGCGGTTAGGAAGAACAGAGGAGAGATTTTTTCGGAAGATAACTAATAGGGAGGGGGTTTTAAATATGTTGCAAGATGGGATAATTAATGATCCTTGCCCGAGAGTAATGATTAATTTAGGGGGGAAAATTATTCCCATGTTATTTGATACGGGGGCAGCTATTTCAGTAATTGGATATAATAGATATCAAAGTATTTGGCCAGGGGAAATGATAGAGAATGAGGGGTTAAGGATAAGACAGTTTGATGGGACACTGATGGCGGCAATGGGTAGGGTGGAGATAATAGCAAAATTGGGGGAAAGAGTTGAAGTATTAGATTTATGGATTATCAATCATAATATAGAAGCTGTGTTGGGGTGGGACTGGATCACTAGGATTGGTCCCTGGTATGGTTTTTGGGGGGTATTTTCATGGTGGGGTGAATTTGTACCAAATACTAGTGAGGAGTATGCAGTTATGACATTTGAGGGTGATAATGGAAGGTCGGGAGTTGAGACTGTATTGAAGCCTGACACCAGAGGAGACCATTCAAGGAGCGAAACAAAGGGGAACAACCCAAGAAGCGTAACAAGAGAGGATCCCAGGAGCGAAACAAAGGGGAACAACCCAAGAAGCGTAACAAGAGAGGATCCCAGGAGCGAAACAAAGGGGAACAACCCAAGAAGCGTAACAAGAGAGGATCCAAGGAGCGAAACAAAGGGGAACAACCCAAGAAGCGTAACAAGAGAGGATCCAAGGAGCGAAACAAAGGGGAACAACCCAAGAAGCGTAACAAGAGAGGATCCAAGGAGCGAAACAAAGGGGAACAACCCAAGAAGCGTAACAAGAGAGGATCCAAGGAGCGAAACAAAGGGGAACAACCCAAGAAGCGTAACAAGAGAGGATCCCAGGAGCGAAACAAAGGGGAACAACCCAAGAAGCGTAACAAGAGAGGATCCCAGGAGCGAAACAAAGGGGAACAACCCAAGAAGCGTAACAAGAGAGGATCCAAGGAGCGAAACAAAGGGGAACAACCCAAGAAGCGTAACAAGAGAGGATCCCAGGAGCGAAACAAAGGGGAACAACCCAAGAAGCGTAACAAGAGAGGATCCAAGGAGCGAAACAAAGGGGAACAACCCAAGAAGCGTAACAAGAGAGGATCCCAGGAGCGAAACAAAGGGGAACAACCCAAGAAGCGTAACAAGAGAGGATCCCAGGAGCGAAACAAAGGGGAACAACCCAAGAAGCGTAACAAGAGAGGATCCAAGGAGCGAAACAAAGGGGAACAACCCAAGAAGCGTAACAAGAGAGGATCCCAGGAGCGAAACAAAGGGGAACAACCCAAGAAGCGTAACAAGAGAGGATCCAAGGAGCGAAACAAAGGGGAACAACCCAAGAAGCGTAACAAGAGAGGATCCCAGGAGCGAAACAAAGGGGAACAACCCAAGAAGCGTAACAAGAGAGGATCCCAGGAGCGAAACAAAGGGGAACAACCCAAGAAGCGTAACAAGAGAGGATCCAAGGAGCGAAACAAAGGGGAACAACCCAAGAAGCGTAACAAGAGAGGTTCCAAGGAGCGAAACAAAGGGGAACAACCCAAGGAGCGTAACAAGAGAGGATCCAAGGAGCGAAACAAAGGGGAACAACCCAAGAAGCGTAACAAGAGAGGATCCAAGGAGCGAAACAAAGGGGAACAACCCAAGAAGCGTAACAAGAGAGGATCCAAGGAGCGAAACAAAGGGGAACAACCCAAGAAGCGTAACAAGAGAGGATCCAAGGAGCGAAACAAAGGGGAACAACCCAAGAAGCGTAACAAGAGAGGATCCAAGGAGCGAAACAAAGGGGAACAACCCAAGAAGCGTAACAAGAGAGGATCCCAGGAGCGAAACAAAGGGGAACAACCCAAGAAGCGTAACAAGAGAGGATCCAAGGAGCGAAACAAAGGGGAACAACCCAAGAAGCGTAACAAGAGAGGATCCAAGGAGCGAAACAAAGGGGAACAACCCAAGGAGCGTAACAAGAGAGGATCCAAGGAGCGAAACAAAGGGGAACAACCCAAGGAGCGTAACAAGAGAGGATCCAAGGAGCGAAACAAAGGGGAACAACCCAAGAAGCGTAACAAGAGAGGATCGAAACAAGGGGAACAACCCAAGGAGCGTAACAGAGAGGATCAAGGAGCGAAACAAGGGAACAACCCAAGAAGCGTAACAAGAGAGGATCCAAGGAGCGAAACAAAGGGGAACAACCCAAGAAGCGTAACAAGAGAGGATCCAAGGAGCGAAACAAAGGGGAACAACCCAAGAAGCGTAACAAGAGAGGATCCAAGGAGCGAAACAAAGGGGAACAACCCAAGAAGCGTAACAAGAGAGGATCCAAGGAGCGAAACAAAGGGGAACAACCCAAGAAGCGTAACAAGAGAGGATCCAAGGAGCGAAACAAAGGGGAACAACCCAAGAAGCGTAACAAGAGAGGATCCAAGGAGCGAAACAAAGGGGAACAACCCAAGAAGCGTAACAAGAGAGGATCCAAGGAGCGAAACAAAGGGGAACAACCCAAGAAGCGTAACAAGAGAGGATCCCAGGAGCGAAACAAAGGGGAACAACCCAAGAAGCGTAACAAGAGAGGATCCCAGGAGCGAAACAAAGGGGAACAACCCAAGAAGCGTAACAAGAGAGGATCCAAGGAGCGAAACAAAGGGGAACAACCCAAGAAGCGTAACAAGAGAGGATCCAAGGAGCGAAACAAAGGGGAACAACCCAAGAAGCGTAACAAGAGAGGATCCAAGGAGCGAAACAAAGGGGAACAACCCAAGAAGCGTAACAAGAGAGGATCCCAGGAGCGAAACAAAGGGGAACAACCCAAGAAGCGTAACAAGAGAGGATCCCAGGAGCGAAACAAAGGGGAACAACCCAAGAAGCGTAACAAGAGAGGATCCAAGGAGCGAAACAAAGGGGAACAACCCAAGAAGCGTAACAAGAGAGGATCCCAGGAGCGAAACAAAGGGGAACAACCCAAGAAGCGTAACAAGAGAGGATCCAAGGAGCGAAACAAAGGGGAACAACCCAAGAAGCGTAACAAGAGAGGATCCCAGGAGCGAAACAAAGGGGAACAACCCAAGAAGCGTAACAAGAGAGGATCCCAGGAGCGAAACAAAGGGGAACAACCCAAGAAGCGTAACAAGAGAGGATCCAAGGAGCGAAACAAAGGGGAACAACCCAAGAAGCGTAACAAGAGAGGATCCCAGGAGCGAAACAAAGGGGAACAACCCAAGAAGCGTAACAAGAGAGGATCCAAGGAGCGAAACAAAGGGGAACAACCCAAGAAGCGTAACAAGAGAGGATCCCAGGAGCGAAACAAAGGGGAACAACCCAAGAAGCGTAACAAGAGAGGATCCAAGGAGCGAAACAAAGGGGAACAACCCAAGAAGCGTAACAAGAGAGGATCCAAGGAGCGAAACAAAGGGGAACAACCCAAGGAGCGTAACAAGAGAGGATCCAAGGAGCGAAACAAAGGGGAACAACCCAAGGAGCGTAACAAGAGAGGATCCAAGGAGCGAAACAAAGGGGAACAACCCAAGAAGCGTAACAAGAGAGGATCCAAGGAGCAAAACAAAGGGGAACAACCCAAGGAGCGTAACAAGAGAGGATCCAAGGAGCGAAACAAAGGGGAACAACCCAAGAAGCGTAACAAGAGAGGATCCAAGGAGCGAAACAAAGGGGAACAACCCAAGAAGCGTAACAAGAGAGGATCCAAGGAGCGAAACAAAGGGGAACAACCCAAGAAGCGTAACAAGAGAGGATCCAAGGAGCGAAACAAAGGGGAACAACCCAAGAAGCGTAACAAGAGAGGATCCAAGGAGCGAAACAAAGGGGAACAACCCAAGAAGCGTAACAAGAGAGGATCCAAGGAGCGAAACAAAGGGGAACAACCCAAGAAGCGTAACAAGAGAGGATCCAAGGAGCGAAACAAAGGGGAACAACCCAAGAAGCGTAACAAGAGAGGATCCCAGGAGCGAAACAAAGGGGAACAACCCAAGAAGCGTAACAAGAGAGGATCCAAGGAGCGAAACAAAGGGGAACAACCCAAGAAGCGTAACAAGAGAGGATCCCAGGAGCGAAACAAAGGGGAACAACCCAAGAAGCGTAACAAGAGAGGATCCAAGGAGCGAAACAAAGGGGAACAACCCAAGAAGCGTAACAAGAGAGGATCCAAGGAGCGAAACAAAGGGGAACAACCCAAGAAGCGTAACAAGAGAGGATCCAAGGAGCGAAACAAAGGGGAACAACCCAAGAAGCGTAACAAGAGAGGATCCAAGGAGCGAAACAAAGGGGAACAACCCAAGAAGCGTAACAAGAGAGGATCCAAGGAGCGAAACAAAGGGGAACAACCCAAGAAGCGTAACAAGAGAGGATCCAAGGAGCGAAACAAAGGGGAACAACCCAAGGAGCGTAACAAGAGAGGATCCAAGGAGCGAAACAAAGGGGAACAACCCAAGGAGCGTAACAAGAGAGGATCCAAGGAGCGAAACAAAGGGGAACAACCCAAGGAGCGTAGCAAGAGAAGATGCGTGGAACGAAACCAAGGGGGATAACTCAGGGAGCGTAACGAGAGAAGCCAATCTAAGGAGCGAAACCAGGGGAAGTAATTCAAGGGGCGCAACATAGGGAAGTGATGTTAGGGGCAGAGTAGGAGAGTTGAATTATAAGAGAGAAATAAGGGGGAAGACTTCTAGGGAAGAAATAAGAGACAACAATTATATAGATAAATCTAGGAAAATTTACCCGGGGCACGTTGGAGCTGGTAAGGAATATGGTGATATTAAGGAAAGGGAGGAGGAAGGAGATACGGGAAAAAGGGACGTAGGGATGCCTAAAGAAAATGGAGATGTGAATAATGCGCAAACCCAAGAAAATCGAGATGTGAATAATGCTCAACCCCAAGGAAGCCGGGAAGTGATTAATGCTAGGACACAAGAAAATCGGGCTAAGACTCAAGGAAATCGGGAAGTGAGGAATACTCAAACTCAAGGAAATCGGGAGGTGATGAAGGCTAGGACGTCGCACAATGATGAGGCGTTGCTAAATGATGAGGATGGAAAGGCATTGGGAATGGCCAAAGTGCAAGAAGGAGCCCGAAGATTAGTACAAAATTATCAAGTGATTTTTAATGAGGATTTAGGTTGTCTCAAAGATTATGAAGTAGATATTAAGTTAAAGGATGGTTACGTTCCAAAGTATTGTGCGTTGCGAAGGATACCTTTTGAGTGGCGGAGAGAAGTAGAAAGGGAGTTGGAACAATGGGTAAAGAAGGATATTGTATGTCCCATAGAGTACAGTGAATGAGTGACCCCGTTGGTACCAGTGAAGAAAGCTAATGGAAAACTCCGTCTATGTGCAGATTTCCGGGTCACGCTAAATCCATGGGTCGTGGAGGTCAAATATCCATTGCCGCGTATTGAAGAAATATTGGCCAGTTTAAAGGGAAGTGTATATTTTTCAAAGATTGATTTCTCTAATGCGTACCTACAGTTGCGGGTGAAACCGGAGGTGAGAAGGTTATTAACGATTACGACCCCAAAAGGGTTGTTTGCGTTTTGTAGATTGCCCTTTGGACTTAGTGTATCAGCTCCTATTTTTCAGCGGACTATGGCAGCGGTTTTTCAAGGATTGGAAGGAGTTTACTACTATATGGATGATGTGCTAGTGACAGGAAGAACTCCCGAACAACATGAACAGAGATTGGAAGAGGTATTTCGGAGAATAAAAGAAAAAGGATTGCGGGCCAGTGCGGAGAAAAGCGTTTTGGGGGTCATGGAAGTGACGTATCTAGGACACAAAATTACAGGAAAGGAGGTGAGACCTTTGGATAAGAACATGACGGGAATTAGCAATATGAAGAGACCAAATAATAAAGCAGAAGTGCAGGCCTTTTTGGGAATGGTCAATTATTACCATCGTTTTGTGGAAGGATTTGCTCAGGTAGCCGCGCCGTGGTATCAATTGCTAAGGAAAGGAGAAAAGTTTGAATGGACAGAAGAACAAGAGGTGGCCTTTAAAGAGCTGAAATGCAGAATTGGAAAGGAACCTATATTAGTGTGCTTCAACAGCGAATTGGAGGTATTTGTGGCGGTAGACGCGTCGAATAAAGGGGTAGGAGGGGCTTTATTACATTGTATTGATGGGTTGGAAAGACCGGTGTTATTTTTCTCAAGGATATTTAGAGAGGCAGAGACTAGGTATTCCGTGATTGAGCAAGAAGCACTCGCCGTTATTTTTAAATTGACGAAATGTCGGGAGTATTTAATTGGGCGCAGGTTTGTTATTTACACCGATCATAAGCCGCTTGTGCATCTATTCAAGAAAGATAACAAGGAGCTGATGCTGTAGCCCAGGTTGCAGAGGTGGCTATTGCTCGTGGGTAGCTTTGACGTACAAGTGAGGTATCGCAGAGGGAAAGAGAACTACCTACCGGACATTTTATCTCGATGTGGAGCTGGAGAGGATTGTGAGGGGAAGGAACAGGAGGGACAAGATGAGAAGGAGGAACGAATACTAATCAGAACGATGGCTGGGATATCCAGGGGTGGGCCAGTGACATGGGAGGCAATTAAAAGGGAAACATTAAAGGATCGGGAATTGAGACGAGTCAAAGCGTGTCTCAAGGGACGGAAAACGTGGCAAGATGGGGACAAAACGTTCAAATATATAGAGAAGGAATTAGCAATTATAGATGAATGTCTAGTGCGAGGGAGTCGGAGTGTTATACCGTTCAAATTAAGGGAGGCCGTGATGGCAATGATTCATGCGGGACATCAAGGTATGGAGAGAATGAAACAGTGGGGACGGGAGTATGTATGGTGGCCGGGAATGAACAAAGACATTGAAAATATCAGTCGAGCCTGTGTTAGATGTAATTCTTGGGCTCCGATGCCTCGAAAAGATAGGGAAAGTGTATGGCCAAAAGCTACTCAGCCATGGGAGCGTATTCACTTGGACTTTTTCGACTTTGATAACAAGATGTATATGTTGGTAGTGGATGCATTTTCCAAGTGGGTTGAATATGAGGAAGTCAAAGGATTAACGACTCAAGTGGTTATAAGGATATTGAAGAATCTATGGGCTAAGTTTGGAGTGGCCACTATAATAGTATCGGATGGGGGGCCGGCTTTTATCAGTAAGCAGTTCAAAATCTTTTGTGGGGAAACGGGAGCCAAACACATTTTAGCACCGCCGTACCATCCGAGTTCGAATGGACAGGCGGAGAGGATGGTGGCGATAGTCAAGAATTGGTTGAAAAAATCAAAGGATGGCGGAGGGGAAATGTGGGTAGCTGTGGCGTATTATAATAATAGCAGAAAAGGGGAGGAGCCGTCGCCGGCGGAGAAATTTTTAGGGAGGAGGACCAGGATTTGGTTGGATTCGCTAAGACCGACAGAGCAGAGGCAGGAGCCAACCGAAACTGGGAAGGCCTCGGAGTTCATAGTTGGACAGGCAGTATGGGCCAGAATATTCAACAGTAATAGAAAATGGGAGGCGGGAGTAATTTTGGAGAACATGGGAAACAAAGTGACTAGAGTGGGATTCGCGGATGGGAGAGAGGGGGTGCGTCATCGGGATCAGTTGCGTAAAAGAATAGAACCGGAGAGGTTGAGAGGGGCGCTGCGGGTGGTGAGAAGTAAATGAGGGTATTAATTGGACTAGGCTTAAACAGAATTCAGGGTACGGGAATATATGTAGAAGAAAAAAAAAAGGAAAAAAAAAATATATATAATTAGTGGGGTAGGTATTGTTTTTCCGAATGTCAGCGATTGTCCCTACGTACGAAAAAGAGAAAAATAATATAGATAATTAGTGGGGTAGGTATTGTCCTTCCGGATGTCAGCCATTACAAATATAAAAAAATTGTACCGTCCGAATGTGGAGATTATTCTGAAATGTGTGCAGGTAGGGAAAAATGGGACCGAATATCTGGAATGAACCATTCGATGTGTGGGATCTTAACCATGTATGCAAAATGCAATAATTAAATTAATGGGGCCCGGAGTTTATATTTTATCGGGGCGTTTTGGGCACCTTTTTGACACAAATACCTCGGGTATACTCTTAATAAGAAGCAATTATTGTAATTGATGCCGAGGTGATTTCGTAAAGGTTTAGCTTAATAGGAACCCAAATGAGTGTTTAATAAAGTTAATATTTAATTGGTAATAATTGCCTCTCTCTTTGTTAAAAGGTTTTTACGAAATTAGGTTTAGTTAAATAAGTTGGATATGTGCGCGACAGGTGTAGGGATAGTTAAGTAAAATAAGAATGTTTGAAAAATAAAAATGTTGACAAGCTAACTTCTCGATTTAAAAAAGAATGTCAAAATAAAAAGTTAAAAAAAAAAAGAGAAAAAATAAGAAAGGCAATAAATCATCCTAAATTTTTGAGGAAAGAAAGGGAGAATTAAAGTTAGGGTAACACATAAAATGAGATAAAATTAAATTTAAAAAAAAATATATATTTAATGATTTGGCAGAAGTTTGAGGTTTGGAAAAGGGAAAAAGTTTAGAAAATAATAAATCAAAATTAGGAATTGGGAGAATATTATGTCAAGATTTAGTTGGTGAGGAAAATCCTTTTAAAAAAAGGGGGAATCATAAATCTGAAAATAAAAAGTTAACAAGTTAAATTTAGATCGTGAGTATAAAAGGGGGAAGAAAAACTAATTTATTTCACACTTCTTAATTGATAGAAATTCTGTTTAAAATTCTTGTGGTTATATTCGTCATTCATTGTGAAGGTAAATAGAAAAATTTTGTTATTAAGTTTAAATTAAAAGAGAAAAGAGAAAGAAAAGGTAAAGTTTTTTTTTGGGTTGGGAGTTTTCGTGGATTCGTAAAGGAAATGGTGGTTTACATTTTTTTCATTAAAAGAAAAATTAATTAGATGAGGGAAGAAGGGAATTATTAACTAAAGAAAAGAAAAATGTATATGTGTTAGTTAAGAAATAAACAGTAGAATAAATTATTTCTGTGAATTAGTAAGTGAAAGAAATTTTGTTTTAATCGTTTGATTTATTAGGAAGGAAAAGGAGAAGTTTGTTTTTTTTTTGAAATTGTTTCCACTTGTGTCTGTAAATTAATTTGTAAGAAAAATTTTGGGGGTAGAATCGTTGGTTTAATTGTTTTGATGAAGTATTACGTTGGTAATTGTTTTGATGAATGGTTAAGTAAAAGGGAATTTTTTTTTAAAAATTTGTTTTCATAGTGCCGTGGGGATCGTATGATTTATTAAAAGGAAAAGGGGTTTTTTTAGCATTTGTTTCTGCAAATTGTTTCGTTCAAAATTTGTTTCTATAGCACCAGGGAATCAAATTATTCTTGTTAATTTATAAAATAAAGGGGATAAAAATTGGGAAAGGTGGATAGGTGTATAAGTTTTAAATGTATACATATATATATTGAGTATATAGATTGTGAGTACCTGTAGATCGCCAGTCCAGGATGAATGTTAGCAGAAGTTGGATTTTTGAAGACGTCGAATTGTATTGGATAATGAGACAGCGACAGGTCCCGGGTTGGTGGGGACAGATGAGAGTTCCGAATTTCACGATGAGGCCAGTTGTGGGAGAGCAAAGACGCTGTTTTAGATGTCACCAGATTGGGCATCTGCGCAGTCGATGTCCACAGAGGGGGCTGCGGAGGGAGAGCCGGAGGGTGAGAAGTCAACAGCAAGAGAACGAGGTGGCCCCGTGGCCAGTGGAGAAACCAGGGGACGCAGGAAGCCGTTGGAGGAACAGCGCGGAGGAGGAAGTGGTGTCTAGGGAAATTAAATTGGCGGAGAACGAGGTGGCCCCGTGGCCAGTGGAGGAACCAGGGGACGCAGGAAGCTGGAGTAGGGAAATTGAATTGGCGGAGAACGAGGTGGCCCCGTGGCCAGTGGAGGAACCAGGGGACGCAGGAAGCCGTTGGAGGAACAGCGCGGAGGAGGGAGTGCAGGCGCCGGAGTCGGAATATACCATGGAAGAGCTTGAGGCAACTTACTTGACTCCGGAATTTATGGACTGGTTGGAGTATTCAATATCAGACGCCGACCGCGACTGGATTCTGGAGGGTGGGTAAGGTTTTTGAAGGGGATAGCTGTCCTATCGGGGGATGTTGACGCGAGGCATATATTGTTTATTTATAAGTAGTATAGTTATCTCTGTAATATCTTAGTGTCTCGCCGTCGTTTATTTATATAGGAATAGTTATTATTTTTTTTATAATATTATTTTGCAATGTTATTTTTTTTAGAAAAAATAATGTTTAATGTTTATTTTTTTTAGAAAAAATAATGTTTATTTTTTTTTAATATAA